AGAGAGAGAGAGAGAGAGAGAGAGAGAGAGAGAGAGAGAGAGAGAGAAGAATAGAGGGAGAGAGAGAGAAGAATAGAGGAAATGTCGAAAAAATTTCCTGCCAAACTTGCGATCATGGTACAATGAGCACACACAGCCATTACTTATTAGACGCTGAATTTTGTAAAAGCGGCGAAACGCATAAACCAATTTGAATTCATTTAACTAGAAAAATGGATAAATGGAAGATGGAATTACATGGAATGAGCGCTGCAACTTTGCAAAGAATAAATGCGAACAATAACAGAAGAAAAAAGAGAGCAAAAAAACTACATAAGAAAAGAAAATAGTTAATTTTTGGGTCAATTCGGAATCCACCATGAATGTGCAATGGATATTATGCGCTCTGGCCCAACGTTATGATGTTTTCATTTTTTGTGTTCGTCGATATACTGTTCCGCTTTTTTGCCCTCAGTCTCTGTTTCATTCTCTCTAACTCCAGGGGCAAATCACAAAAAAGCAATTTCTAATAAAGTAGAAGAATGAACATAATATGTCCGTAATTTTTAAACAACAAATTACTTTTAGTATAAAAGTAATTTGTGGTATAGCTGTCACATCCTAATATATCGGTACATTGAAAAAATATGTTAGTTCAATGACCACACCGTTGCTGCAAGAGCATTACCAATAGCGACACCTTGTGGCACCTATAGTAAAATCCTGTGTGTTACAATGTATTTTTCAACACATTACAATCGGTGCCACCAGGATCGCCTGTGGTATATTGCTGTTGCAGCAACCTTGTGTCAATGACATTGTCATACATAAATGACTTTTGGTAAAAAGTAATTTGTAATTTGCCTACTGAATAGGCTAGGTAATAGAAAGTAATTTTGAAGTAGTATGGAAGTAATTTGAAAAGTGATTTGCCCTCCGCTGCAACTCTCTATGTCTTTCGTCATTGTTTCTTGCCCTGTCTCAAAGTGCGTAAATATCACGAAATTTCAAAAATGCCGCGTATTTTAGTTACAAAATAAACTCCAATTTAAATTGATTTGCTATATACCTCAGTGGCGCTAGTATCGTGAATGGGAGAAATTGACAGCTCTTCTTCTGAAACATGCCCTGTCCATTTAATTCGTCAAATTGTTTTCATTTTAAAAAAAGTAGCGAGTACAAAGAGAGAAAAAAGTGATGTATTCAAATGGTGAACGAGCGCAATGGGCAGAAAATAATTATACACGCAGAGCACACACACACACACACACATGAATGGTTTGGAGCGAAAATTGTATACAGAAAAGTTGAGCGGAAAAATGTCGATGATGAATGAGCGGAAAAGGGATAGCTATACAGAACACTATAGTAAACTATAGTGAACTATATAGCTATCCCTTTTCATTTGACATTTTTCCGCTCAACTTTTCTGTATTACATTTTCGCTCCAAACCATTCATATATATATGCACAATCAGTACACAACACACTAGCATGCGCTCAAACTAAGCGGCAAAACACAATGAAAAACCAAACAAATGACTAAAACAGAACAATTTTTTGTCATTTCTGGCTGTTGCTAGGGCCTCCAGTTAGTGGCAATGATGCGTTTTGCAAAGCACTTTTGTTGCCAAATCACGTAAATCTTTAGTGTACAAATTAAATGTCCCCGGCGCACATTTGTAACGAGTGTTCAGAGTCCGTGTCCTTTATGTTTCTGTCTCTTTTTCTTTCCCTCTCCCTTTCGCACTGATTGTACCCGAAAAAAAATTCCGAAAACCAGAAAACATTCATAACATTTAAAAAAAATTTAGCGCTTTTTCATTGCAGTTATTATTTATTAATGTCGCAGCATTCGAAGGGGAACACATTCCATGACCAAACCATACGAAGAAGTTTTGAACTGGTTATTGGTTCATATCCTAAAGATATTTTTTGGGGTGGTTTTGTTGGTGGCAAAAATAGAGTGTGTGTGTGTGTGTGTGTGTGTGAGTGTTGGATTTGTTTTTTCTTCTCCCTCACTGCTGTCGTCGTTACTCTGTTGGGAGAATTTTCATGCATTTGCACAAAAAGTGTCTTCATTTTTGTTTTGGCGTTCATTGTCTACACGGTAAAAGTTGGAGTGCTGACTACGAATATCTATTACACTTTGCCCACACTGAAGATTGTTCACAATTCAAAAAAAATTGCGGAACATTTTTAGTGGTGGGTGAGAAGAAGAAGAAGAAGAAGAAATTGGTTGGGAGGGTGAGAGAATAAGCGGACAACAGTACAATAAACAGAGAAAAAAACTGGAAAAATCACCCAAAACAAAAATGTGCAGTCGTATGGTATTGCAGGTCATCAGAGTTTGATTCCAACTAACACACACACACACACACACATATAAACGCGCCAGTATTTAGAGACGAATATTACATTTCATGCAGAAATTCATACATTCATATATGTACAACATACTACATATTTTGCCCGGGAGGTTTGTGTCTTTTGAATTGGTGGTGGGTGCGGCGGAGCAGAGTGGCGAGGAGCAGAGTGTGCAGCATAATTGCTGCTGCACAAGAAATATATCAAATGCCCATTACAAATGGACGGCGTTGTATATGCAAGGAAACTGTAAATAATACCCGAGTTCCCCACCGAAATTGTGGTGCAGTATGAATGTGATCCGAATTCGGAAAAAAAAAATGTTCGACGATAGCAAACCCCACACATAAATAAACAAATCTGTGTACAATTGAATCGATTCGCTTCATTACAGTTCTTGGATGCAAAAATTGCGACATATCGTTTGCAAAATCAACCGAAAAACCAGTCGCATTTTGTATTCATGTAACTAACCATAAGAGCCAAATCAGACTGGAACGAATCTGGAGAAGAAGAAAAATTGGCGCGAGCGAATCTGTCAAGTGACATTTTTGAATGAGTGCACCTGGCTGTGATTGTATTTGTGTGGAGATATCGTTGCCGCAAAAATTTAAATCATGCTTTCGTTACTATTGTAGTCATCGTCGTCGTCGTCGTCGTCGTCGTCGTCGTCGTCGTCGTCGTCGTCATTGTTGCCCGAAACCAGCCGAGATTATTATTACAAATGGGTTTTCCTTTTTGCGCTCGATTCCATTCACCGCTTGATTTTGTGTTGTGAACTTGACTACAGCTCGTTTATAATCTTCTTTTCCTGCCGCTTTTTTATTCTTCTTCTTTATGGTTCTTTTTTCACTCTCTGTCTATGTGCTTCATTTATTTTTTCATTCGCTCATAGTGTGTTCTGCCATGAATTTTCACTTTATCATTAAACTCAGCCTAATGATACACATGATACACATAAGTTCGGTTACTGTTTTATTCTTGCAAGGCAGTTTTTCCATAGTGTATTGCTCTCTCCCCATGTCTCTCTCTCTCTGTCGCTCTGCCTTTCATTGTGCCCGAATACTTTACGTCTACTTTCCCCGTGATCTCATAGTAAATGAAAAATCATGAGAAAGCACAAACGCGTGTCGATGATTATGTTGCGCTTTGCGCCGCTCTAGTAAGAAGAAGCCCAAAAAAACCGGGATAGAATATGTAAGCAGGTATCATTTCTCCATTTTCTTCGGTTTTAATAAGCGGCATATAGTTACACATGACTCGTCTATTTATTTGCTTAACAAGATCTAAACATATTCTGAACATAAATTTTTATTGTGGCCCAGCTAACCAGATCAATATATATACACACATGACTATCATAGCGATGGGATGTGATGTGATGCGATATGTGTATATGATGTTATGCATACATGCTTTTCACATCAATAAGTTTATATTTACTGGCCCCGAAAATAGTAGCTCATACTCGCAAACACAAACACAATGTGTAAAGTGAGTTGGAGTTTTGCTATTCAGATGTTTGTGTTTCCAAGCGAGGTTCTATTATTCAGTCGATTCACACCATATGAAATGGTTAAATGTGCACCTGGGCTTGCTGAATGTGTGCAATAATCTCTGGAATAGACGTTAATTCGGTGGCAAAGCACAAAGTTAAGCGAGAGGGGAGCGGATGTGAGAGTAAGCGAACAAACGAGAGAATGGACAAACGCAAAAGAGAAGAGAGAGAGACAGAGAGAGTACAACGTCGGCTGAAATGTGCACGTTGCCAGATGAAATCGTGTCAAAAATGGTGTTTGTCTGCCGTCACAAGACCCTCAAATTGATCTCTGGCAACAACATCCATTATTATGTTAAACATAAAACAGAACAGTCAACACAGTCACATTTTTGTTAATTGAAGCGTTCACGATAGTATCTTCTTTTACTGAATAGAATTCAACTTGACAATGCAATTTCCGTGCTGCCGTACTGCCTAGCGTACTGCCGTTCGCATTTGAATCACTTATTTTCTCTGTATCGCCTTTTCGCCTCTTCCACTACTTCCAAACATTTGCACAATATCATCTTGGAAAAGAATGGTCGACGCTTTTTTATTTGTGTCCATTGATTGTGTGTGCGGTGTGCGCGCGAGTGTGTGCCATACAATATACATTGAAGGCATTCTGTTGCTTTAAGAGGCAATAAATCAAATGGGAAAGCTTTCGAACAATACTTGTAATGTGACGTAATTACATGTATCATTTACTGTTTTACTGTTATCGCTACATGTTTATTCAACAATGCAATATGCTTTAAATGTATAAATCGCTGCACGAACGACTCACTATACTCGATGGAAATTAATTTTTAATTATTTCGTTCGAAGGGAGTTTTGAATGGCAGAAGAGGAAATCTCTCTTGTTTTTTTTTTCGCTTTCACCATTTTAAGCGCGTCAAATGATTAAATTTAGATTTATGTTGATGTCGATGTGGTTGGTTCTATTTCCTTCATATTCTCATTCTTTCTTTCTTCATTTTCAGGTCAAGTTGATTTATGGACGAAGAAAACGAGTGGATGTGCATGCGAATGGGAAAACCATTCACATTATGGTGGCAGTGCACTACTGACCAACGCGTCACACATTGATGCAGGGAATGCAGTAAATGCGTCCTCACACCACACACCTGCAACGGTGAACAGCCACAATTGCGCCTGCTGTGTAAAAGGCGGATGCCAGTGTGGTTCCACTTCGCCAGCAAGATGCGGACAGTGTGGCTTAGAACAATACTGTGTCAATAGTAAGTGCCATTAATCTCGTATGTAAATTTATTGATTGATTTTCAGTCCCGTGAGAGCAAGATAGATACGCATATCGCACACGTAGATATATATACATACAAACACACACACAGCCAACCCAATTGCAAATCGATCGAATGAATCGGGCATTTCATTCAAATAAATCGATTTCGAAATTCGTATTTCTCTTGCTCTCGCTCACTCTTTCTCTCTGTAAGTCTACATATATGTTTATTCGCATTCCCAACTCCACCAGAGTAATTTCCACTAATTCTTTTGCTGTTTTTTTCTTTTTATTCGTTCGATTTGGTGATTTTTGCTTGTGTTGCTCTAATAAAGTGTGCAACATAACGATTGATTCGCGTGCTTTACAAAATACATCGGGCTGTGCATTCGGACAAATCAAATCGCCAACGGTCCAAGGTCCAACATTGTGTAAATATTTGCTGCGTCCAGCGCCGGGTCAGAGAGTTGAATTGCAAGTGTATCGTCTGGTCGAAACTGGCCGATTTAATGGAAAACAATGCGAAGGTGGATCGTTGCGTTTTGGAATGGATAACAATTTGTTGCCACGATCGGTCGATATTGATTCATTGAGTTCGCCCAGCGCTGAATTGTGCGGTTCAAATGAACGTTATTCACCGCCAGCCGTTTTATTTTCGGACGAAGGAGCAACAACGTTGATATTCAAGTAAGGTTTTTCATGCTCTGTTTGCATGTAATTTATCAATGACACAACCTGCCCGCCAACTCAGTGTGGCACTGACAATGGCATTTACTGTCTTGTTTACTTTTTTCTTTCTCTCACTTTCATTTCACATTTACGTTATCAATGACATTTGACTAATATTCTTATTTGAAAATGTTTCTGATTTTCATTTCATGGTAATTTTTCTTCGTTGCAACTGTGTTACCGCGCTCTTCTCGCTCTCGTTCGTTTCCACGCTCACTCTGCGATCTATATGTATGCGAATTCGTAATTCTGATTGATAGCATCACTGAGCAGACGAGTCGTTCGCAGTTCTTGGCCTATTTCAGTTTTACAGCGCTCAGCAATCCATTGGTTGGCTTCCATCCGAAAGGTAAGTTTTGAGATGAGTGGGATGCTGTCGGCACTCTCTCTCTCTCTCTGTCACCCCCTCTCTTGTTCTATTTCTATCTTTCACTTTCCGTGTGTCTGTTGCCATCATTTCTTTATACAACAAAACTTGACTCTTGTTTTGCTGCATTTCGTTTAAGCTTTTCACATCCGGATATAAAATGATTGCGATGTTGAAAAGATGTAATAAATTCGAATTGAAGTTTTTTTTGTTATGTGTAAAGAAAAAAATAGAAGAAGCTCGAAACAACGTGAAGTTAGGGGAAAAACATGTTCTGAAGAGGGTGAGGTAGGTAGAGCGTGTATACGTACATGAAAACTAGAGGCAATTCCATATTCAATTTGTATTCAGATGGTTTTTCATTTGATTTCGATTTATGCCATTCACAATCCGTCTCTGGCTAAAAAGAAAATCCTCGGCACTCATGAAAATGAAATAATCTAAAAGATGAACGAGATAAAAAAAAAACAAACACACACGTATATATCGAAAACTAAGTGATGAATCATCCAAATTCCGATTTCACATAAAAGTTAATGTCGGTTTTAGTTTTATTGCTTCGAAAACATTTCCGGCATTTAGCAGTCAATAGGAGTCAGGCTTTGAATGATAAAGAGAAGAGATTTGTAACAAAAAAAAATTCTGACTAAACAAGCAAATGTGTCACATTTCCTACTCCCCACAACAACAAAAACAACAACAAAAAATAGGTGGAACACGTGTCACATCGACCGAATGCGATTGGACGTATAACGATTATGCATGTCAACAGGATAATTCGTGCGCTATTGCCAGTCCAGGTTTCCCTGGTATCTATCCGCCGAATATCATTTGTCGATACCTTATCGCCACTTCGTCAGCCCATACACGCGTAAAAATCACATTCACATCACTTTTGCTGCCCGAAGGGTGAGTTTTTGATCGAAAACACACACACACACCACACACACAAAACAAATTTTACTCTGTATCGATATCAGTGTCATTTGATTTAATTTTGCGTGTTTTGTGCAGCATAGCGACCACCGCAATAATACACACAACACTCAAACTTTGATCTATTTTCCGAAATCGTTTTGTCTATCGTATTTGTATTTGCAGTAGCATGCACTCTCGTTTTGCCACACCAGGTTTTCGACCCCTGACCAAAGTTCATTTTCAGTTAAATTGGCTTTCGGCAATTTGTGCGATTGCAAACCGACAAAATGAATGGAAATTCGAAGAAAAAAGATCACCATGCTCGGTTCTCGCGTGTGGTGCTCGTAGAAAATAAATGACATACACACATACAAAGTTTAATTTATTCAAATCACATTCATCATTAATTTTCTCTTTGACTTTTCCCGCGCACACACTCAATAATTTAAAACTATTTGATTTGCATATTTCATGACGCGTGCACACAGGCATTGCGATACGCATTTTATCGCGTTGTATGATGGTTCGGTGCCGAATGATAAGAAATTGGCAACGGTTTGTGGTTCGAAAAAACAAGAGCTCGTATTTCAAGGGCCCTATTTATTGCTGGAATTCAATGCTGGCTATCAAGTACCACCATTTGATTACAATGGGTTTGCGGCTAATTTGGAATTTATTGAGGGACAAGGTACAACTGTGCCACCTCCACAAACCGTTGCACCCTCGCGCAATAATAATCACAGTGGTGGTAATCATCATAGGCACGGTGGTGCTGGTGCTGGTGGTGGTGGTGGTGGTGGTGGTGCTGCCGTTGCCACTGCCGTCGATGTCGATTGGACGCCAGCGCCGCCGAAATTTTCACCCTGCGATAAAATCATCATCGAAGCCAATGGACGCTCTGGACATTTTGATACGCGCGGAAGACCATTTGCACCGAATTGCCGATTAATTTTCAAAGGAAAACCGACGGATGTTGTGCACATTTCACTGTTCAACTACCGATTGAAAGCCCAATCATGCCGATCAGTTATCGAAATTATTGATGGTGCCCTTGAGTCAGCGTCGTCGAGTGTGAGCAACCAAAAGAAATCACTGCATAAAATGTGCTCACCCATCATACGGCATGCTCGTGATCAAGATGGCAATTTTGTACCACCGCAAACATTTGTCTCAACCGGTTCACAAATCATGATTGCTCTGCGACGATTTCATGGCTCACCGGCTGGGTCGGGTGCTTCATCCGCCAACTACGATCATAACGATGAATTCATTGATGGAGCCTACATGTTTCATGACGGTGAGTATGATGATGCTTGCCTATCGTGGACACGCATATTTTATTACGATTTAATTAGTAAATCGATTTAATTTGAAATTATTGAAGAACCATATTATTATTTGAATATTGTTATTATTTAATGAATAAAACGTTTTGATTATCTGATAATTATTTTGCATTGATCTGGGGAGAGATGAAGTGAAAATGGTACATTTTTTGTTTCTTTGTTCGAGCAGAAGAACAAAGTGGAACGCTACAGCCATCATCCTTGTGCGACACAGACCATTATGGCATGAGTAGTCCAGTGTTTGGTGCAATCAATGGACCCGGGTCAGAGCATCTGTTTTGGAATATCGAAGGTGTTCTCACGTGCACACATAACTTTGTACCAGCTGCTAATCAGAGTGTAACTGTATCGGTAATTAAAAACGAGTTTCTCTGCATAATTCAAGCGAACTTTTTGCTATACAATTCATTTTTATTCGATTTCCAATCGAGAAGTTTTACATTTCCGAATCGTATGAGTATCAAGTCGAGAACTTTGAAGGAAATTTTTTCGAACATTTAATAAATAGAAGATTAGTCATTGGAATTAATAGCGGATATATGTATATTAAGAGCTTATCCGTATTGACCCAGTAAAATGTGCTAACATTAAGAGTAATTGAATTCTATATTACAATCTCAAACGTGCAGATCGATTCATTGGAGCGCCTTGGAAGTGAGCCGCATTGTGAAACGGTGTGCGGTGATGCTGGTTGCCAGTGCTTGACAAATATGTATCCATTGGATCAAGTTGATCATTTAACTATGATATCGGAAGATGGACAGTCGGTCAACTGCTTTTGCGGTGCTTTCCGTGCAGAATGGCTGCCCGTTAGTTTACGCACATGGACTCCGCTCAAGCTTGTGTACTCAATACCACATTACTCATGGAGTACAAAGGGATTTTCATTTAAATCATCGTATAGCTTTAACAATGACGCACTTTGCGGCAGCAAAACATTTACCACACATTCAGGTGAGCTTGAAATAGCGAATCAAATTGGAAGCAAAATCAGAAACAGAATTGAACAAAGAGAAAAAACCGGAAAATCACTTTCAAGAAACTGTTGAGTCTGTTCCATGAAGAGCTTTTATCTGTTGAATAAAGCGAGTCTTTCATGAAAGACTCTCACTTGGCTCGGAAAAGTCCTCACCGTATATAAAATAACGTGTTCCTCTTTCTTTTTTATCTGTTGATGCTGTTGCTGCTGTTGCTCGGTTAGGTGAACTGTCGTCCAACAACTTTTTCAACAATTCGACGACTGTATTTTCGTTGAACTCGTTCTACCATCAACAATGCACATGGATCCTAGACTCAAAAGTTGATCGTCAATTATTCATTGAGGTAAGTGAAATGAAAGTTGAAAGTTGAAAGCTTAAAGTTTTAAGCGCAAACCTTTCGGTGTTTTTAAGTCGTTTTGATTAAAATGTGTTTATGCCATTTTTTAATGGTAAAATTAGATTTTGTCGGAGCAAAGTCGATCGTGTTCCGCTTGGAATATTTCAATTCATGAGTTTTCGGCATTGGAAGAAAGTTTAAACCATGCCGGTCCACAAATACATTTGTTCTGTCCACGCGATAAACACAAAGTATTCACAATGCCATGGAAGCTGTCCACGGTCGTTGTTCGGTAAGTGCGAGAAAATAACATCTTATTCTTTGCATGAATGTGTAAAGTTGATAGAAAGAGTATGCATAAATATCTCAATTGTTGTTTCAGTGTACAAGCAATGACACGAACGCCGCCACAGTACACAGTCCGATGGTCATCACAAATTTCGCGGTTAAACAATCGTCTTGGTCCGCCGACGCCAGTTCCAAATTTGTCTAGCTCTGCATCACCGACGTCAATGAATATATTTAAGGATCTCTATTCAAATTTATACCGAAACGATAATAGTCATTGTTTTAGCACTAGACATACGAATAATAATAATAATAATTATATTTATAGTTATAACAGTAGTTATGTAATGAGCATAGAGAATTGTAATCAGTATAAGTCATTAACGAATCGATTAGACGGATACGGTGGAGAGAATGCATTGCCACTGCTTCTATCGATAATCACCGGCAACAAGCTTAGTTGTTTGTTCATTGTTTTGTGGATGTACAACTTCCTTGCTGAGTTCACAATACAATCGCCTCGTTTGGAATTCAATTGAACCAAATAAAGTGCCGACTCTTGTGAAAATTGATATCCACTTCGGCAGCTCATCTGCTCTTGCCGATGTGATTGAATGTATTATAAAATTCATATAGACAGATTTTTCTTCAGAATAACTACTATTTGATTGTATCGATTCGTCTTGCATCATCATCATCATCGCACAGTCACACACAACGATGGATGACATGCCATTGCACCCGAACGAAAGGAGTTTCAAGGAAAATTGAATTCCAACGGAAAATTAGATTCCAATAAAAAGAATCATACAAATCACAATGTTATTCTCTCTTAATTTAATTCTATCACCCATACAAACACACACCGGAAATTCGAAATTGAAATGAGCTCCATTTTATTTGTCATGAATAACCAATTATTATGCACCGTCTCCACATACATACACACTACACATACATTCAAGTTTGTTGTGCTACACCGATTTTGAAGAGTGATATAAAATATATCGATGTCGGCAACTAGATGATAAATAAACGTGTTTCCGCTCACACAACTCACTCACCCACACACCACACACACAAAAACACAAAAACACACATTTTAAATTACAGAATTTCGACAAATACCGTAGAAAATTAGAACATATACTTTGTTGTACAAGCATTACCAAATGAAAACAGTGAACTCATTGAATACGTGTGGCGCTTTGTTTTTAATGAACGGAAAGAATGAACTTAGAAGACTTAAAAACATCGATAATACACATATAACGATTATCGAAGAAGACAGAAGAAAAGTATATAGGCAAAAACACCCCGTGTGCAAATAAAATGACTAACAATCACTCAGTTGTGTGTAGCTGTATGTAGTGGTACACAAGTGTTTTATATGGAGATAATCACGTTTAGTTATTCTTTCAGTCAGTCGACTAATTTAGGACATTTTGACTCAGAGTGATTCGTGATTAAAGTTACCCAAGCGCGACTCCACACTTAGCTTCTAAATGTGACACCTTGGTAAGTGTGAGCATTCGTTTTGCGAATAAGCGACAAAGAGAATGGAAACAAGTGCGCGTGTGGTAATGAGCAGCCTGATGCGATGCTTCTCAATGTAGCGACTATTACACGCGCACTTGTTTTCCCTCTCTTTATTGCTTGTTCGCATGACGAATGCTCGCACTTACCAAGGTGTCACATTTAGAAGCTAAGTGTGGAGTCGCGCTTTGGTAATTACAGTTGTTTATTTTGTTCGAGACAATCACTGTTAGTCAGTCAAATAGTTACTGAATGTCCCAAATTAATCAACTGACTTAGGCAGTCAAAAATTTTCCACACGGGACTCACACAACTGCGACGGAGGAAACAATAAACGTTCAATCTGTGATCCTTTTATAGTGAAACAAAAGAAAAACCAAGTGAATTTCTAAGTATCTGACAAATCAATTTTTTTCCTATTCCCAAAATGAAGAATGTTTTTAAAAAATGGCCAATAGATTTCGAAACACTGATCCCTTTTATTAGTTATTTTCTTTTCTATGCCTTTAAGTTGTGCATTTTGATTAGTTTTCATGTTGGATTTCATGTTGAGATAAAATGACATTGGTTTGTGTTAGTTCGAAAAATGGCGTTTTGCGCAAAAATTATTTTATCCACGTTTTTTCCCTTCAGTTCGTATATAATAAAATTTTTGATCCACTTATTCAGGGTTCATATGGCAAAAGGAGTGAAATCAGCGTTTCTCCACGCAAAGACTAAAGTGGTTAAACTGTTACAAGAGAAATATGACAACAAATATGTTTTTATTATTTTGTCATTACAAATCTGTCTCCTGACAACCCTATCCTCGTTGGAATTATATAGTGGAAAAGTTTCAATGTTACATCAAGCATACGTTTTTGGATGGCTGAGTATCTCAGCATATCGTATGCAGCGGATATATCTCAGCATATGGACGACGCAAGTCACTGTATAACTGACGTGCGTTGCTGTACACAGCCACATCGACTCCACTCAAACTGTGCGCGCAGCAACGCACGCCACTTTTAATAACACACATATGAGGCTGTGAGAATGAAAATGGCAATACAGGAATAAACATTCTGAAACGAAACATAAAACAGCAAACACGCAAAAGTGAATCATGAATGTTTGAGCAGCAGCAGTGAACCATGAGTATCGGTACGTGTGCGTAAATTCATGATTTGCTTCAACACAGCGCTCATTCAAGATTCACTTTTGAGAATTTTCTTTCTTAGCGGCACTTCAGTAAATATTTTTGTCACGTTGCGCATTTGTATGTTTTCTTTTCATGGGTCGGTTTTAAAAAAATGTTATTCATTTCCAAACTCACCGTAGTTTTAATTCAATCCAGACAAAATATATTATTTTAAATCATAGACCTTGATTTGCGTTAAACAAGAGTTTGTATTTTGTTAGTTTGGAATACAGGAGTAATAAAATATCTGTGGACTTTAGAAATCGTGTTTCACTTTAATTGAAGCAAAAATGTTCGATACACTTTCAAGTCCATTGGAATGATGATTCATTGTAATGGTGGTTTTGGTTGTGATTTGGCTTCGGAGTGAAAATTAAGTGATAAGGAGCGCGAATTTCGATGTGCCGAAACCTGAACGTTCTTGTTTTCTTACTGCGCACTACTTTTCTACGGTGAAGCAGACTGCTTTGTTGATGTGTATAACAAAACCGGTAAAACACCGGCGCTCCGAGGTTTTCATACAAACTTCCCATGTAGACGATCGGAAACAGGCAAAAATCGAAAAAAAAAGTTAAATTTTCTTTTTCGATTCTCATACAGTATTTCATGTGCCCAATCCAATGGTGTTATCGGCACATCGAAATTCGCGCTCCTTATCACCTAATTTTCACACCGAAGTCAAATCACAACCAAAACCACCATTACAATGAATCATCATTCCAATGGACTTGAAAGTGTATCAAACATTTTTGCTTCAATTAAAGTGAAACACGATTTCTAAAGTCCACAGATATTTTATTACTCCTGTATTCCAAACTAACAAAATACGAACTCTTGTTTAACGCAAATCAAGGTCTATGATTTGAAATAATATATTTTGTCTGGATTGAATTAAAACTACGGTGAGTTTGGAAATGAATAACATTTTTTTAAAACCGACCCATGAAAAGAAAACATACAAATGCGCAACGTGACAAAAATATTTACTGAAGTGCCGCTAAGAAAGAAAATTCACAAAAGTGAATCTTGAATGAGCGCTGTGTTGAAGCAAATCATGAATTTACGCACACGTACCGATACTCATGGTTCACTGCTGCTGCTCAAACATTCATGATTCACTTTTGCGTGTTTGCTGTTTTATGTTTCGTTTCAGAATGTTTATTCCTGTATTGCCATTTTCATTCTCACAGCCTCATATAATGATATTCAGATAAACTTGATTTCTTGGAAGTAGTGGAACAGCGTTCAGACCGCAGAACCGTGTTGAAAATGAACAATTTTTTCTGTTGACGTGGTAAACGTTCGTATCAACTTTTTTATCGACACCAATGCCAGCCCGTTGATGGCAAATTTCTATATTTATCCATAAAATGAATTTAATTGTAGTCTCTGTCGCATTGCCAATGTACATTTGATTTATAAATATATAATAAATCCAAACAAATGAAAAAAGTAAACATTAAATGGAATAAAAAAGCAAACAACCCCGCCACACAAATGTCATAGCCGGCTGTCAGTGGAATTTCAATGATAATATAAATAAATATAGTAAAAGCTAGGAACTTCGGCCTTAAGCAACAACAAAACTGAAGAAGAAGAAGATGGAAAATAGGAAATCCAAAGTATTAAATAAAAATCATATCGGAAGTGTCCGAAATGAGTGCAGCAAATCGAAATTGAAGTGAATTGAAATTTGACAGCTGAATAAAATCTAAATGTAAAACGAGCGAATTAGAGAAGAATGTCACACATACACAATACAAAGCATAGAACGTGAATCTCGTTAATCCTCCGTCACTTGTGTATTATATATAGAAAATAGGTATAACAATTTGAGGTCGATTGTTAATAGAGAGAGGCTGAGAACAATACAATGAAGATAAATCAGATGCAAAGAATTGATGAATGTATAATTTTTTTTTTTTCAGACTGCTAGAGTGCAATTCCAACAAATGATTTATTTTCTAATAGAAAATTGCTAAAAGAAATTGCATCATTACATCGTATTTCGAATCCAACGAGCGTAATACACACCACAAATTTTAAGGGGATCATCCTTTTAAATGTTGGTTCAATCAATTTTTAAACGGCATTGCAATTCAGCCGCCAATGAATGATATTAGTCTATAGTCAGAATACAACAGATGATCAAGCAAAGAAACAAGCAAAAAATAACCGAACACATACTGAATGTGTACACTGTACAGTGTGTTGAATCATATACAACAAATAAGAAATTTAACAAACAGAGAAAAAAAAAAACTTATTCAACTCACCCAATGAGGAAAACGTTACAGTTGTAAACATTTCGTACACGGCCAATGTAATTTCTGCATAAGCTGTGCACAAAATTTGTACAACTGTAACGTTTTCCTCATTGGGCAAGATAAAAAGCATTTTGAATTCTGGCACATACGAAAGAACAGCAAGAAGCTAATAATGTTAAATATATCTTTTCCTTCACTGAACAGCGACACATTTTTGTCATTATTCCGCGAAAAAAAGAAGAAAACACAAAATGGCATCTTTAATGCTAGTTAAAAACATATTTTTCATCACTTCTCTATATTCAGTCACAAAATGTCCGCCGGCACAAGCACAAAATATTATGGAAAACGGCCAGTTTTTTCAGATGCATATATCTTTTAACTTTGAATTTGTTACCTTGAATTTCTCACAAGCAAAATATGTGTCAATTGAATTCGTAGATGTTCCTATTTTCATTTTTTGTTTTGTTTAATATTTAGAAAAGAAGAAGTGGAGGAGAAGGAGGAGATAACCAGAAATAAAAACGTTAGTTTAGACTTTAATTGATAAGTAGACAAGCGCGCAGATGAACCAAAGAAATTTTAATCGATAAAAATCGTTGGTGAGACAAAATTAGAGGAATTGCATTTTGAATAATGTTTGAAAAGAAATACTCAAAATGTGTGTTGACAACTACCTAGCATTCAATCGAATATAATATAAAAATCTCACTCACAATACCTAATACTATTTATGCAACAGAAGAAAACCAACAGAGAAATTCAAACACAACAAATGACACAAAACTTGAGACACACTTAAACATTTGATAAATATTTATGTGTAATGTTCGT